TCAGTTTCATCATCTCAGCATCCCAGATAGCTTAGAAAAACTCGATATTGCAACAGAAACTTTTAACTCTCTTTTCCAGCACTTTAGACGCAGTTGCTCCATTGCGCTTAAAGAAGATTAAAGAAAATAGTCCAACGCCGTGGTACAGCGAGCACACTCAGGCCCTAAAGAGAGCAGCCAGAAAAATGGAGCGCAACTGGAAGAAACCTAAACTAGAGGTATTTCGGATTTCATGGAAAGAGAGCTCGATTGCTTACAGAGAGTCCTTAAAAGCTGCTAGATCTGCTTATTTTTCAACCCTAGTAGAAGAAAATAAACATAATCCTAGATATTTATTTGAAACAGTTGCTAAACTAACAAAAAAGAAAGCTTCAAGCCCAGAAGTGTCCAAGCAACACAGCAGTAATGACTTTATGAATTTCTTCACTTATAAGATCGATAATATCAGGGATAAAATTATAACTATGCAACCGTCTACCACAGTATCGCATCAGGCAGTGCATTGTAGTCTCTCTGGGGAAAAATTTGGTTCATTTGTTGCCATAGGAGAGGAAGAATTCTGCAAACTCGTTAAATCAACAACTTGTATGTTAGACCCTATACCCACTAAGCTACTGAAAGAGATGCTTCTAGAGGTCATAGATCCTCTTCTTAATATCATTAATTCGTCTTTGTCTCTAGGATACGTACCAAAAACCTTTAAGCTGGCTATGATAAAACCGATTGTTAAAAAAAACGCAACTTGATCATACAAAATTAGTCAATTACAGGCCGATCTCGAATCTGCCTTTTCTGTCAAAGATACTGGAAAAAGCAGTATCCTCACAACTGTGTTCCTTTCTAGAAAGAAATATCTGCGAGGATTTTCAGTCAGGATTCAGACCGTACCATAGTACCGAGACAGCTCTCATCAGAGTCACAAATGATTTGCTCTTATCATCCGATCACGGTTGTATCTCTATTAGTGTTACTTGATCTTAGTGCTGCATTTGATACTATTGACCACAACATTCTTTTAAATAGACTAGAAAACTATGTTGGCATTAGTGGAGTTGCACTAGCATGGTTTAAATCATACTTATCTGACCGTTATCAGTTTGCAGCAATAAATGAAGAGATGTCTTATCGATTACAAGTTCAGTATGGTGTACCGCAAGGCTCAGTACTAGGACCGCTGCTGTTCACTCTGTACATGCTACCATTAGGAGATATTATTAGGAAACAGGGAATTAGCTTTCACTGTTATGCCGATGATACTCAGCTGTATATTTCTTCAAAACCCAATGAAACTTACCAATTCACAAAATTAACGGAATGCACAGCTGATATAAAAAAAATGGATGACTAGTAATTTCCTACTAAATTCTGAAAAAACAGATTCTAATTATTGGACAAAAAACTTCCACACGTAATAACCTAGAATACTGTCTAACACTTGATGGTTGCTCTGTCAAGTCTTCGCCGTCGGTTAGGAACCTGGGTGTGTGTGTGTGTGTGTGTGTGCTCTTTGATACCAATCTTTAATTTGAAAGTCACGTGTCTAGTATCTGTAAAACCGCATTTTTCCATCTTAAAAATATATCTAAATTACGCCATATGCTCTCATTGACAAATGCAGAACAATTAGTTCATGCGTTCATGTCATCAAGGCTAGATTATTGTAATGCTCTACTGGGTGGTTGGCCTGCACGCTTAATAAACAAACTCCAGCTAGTTCAAAACGCAGCAGCTCGAGTTCTTACCAGAACCAGGAAATATGACCATATTAGCCCGGTTCTGTCAACACTGCATTGGCTCCCTATTAAACATTGTAAGTAATCAGCAATATTTTGAAATTTATACGAAGCACTAAATCGTTTAGCTCCCCAGTACTTGAGCGAGCTCTTAACGCATTATAGTCCTTCACGCCTATTGCGTTCTCGAAATTCCGGCCAGTTGATAATACCTAGAATACCTAAATCGACTGCTGGCGGTAGATCCTTTTCCTATTTAGCACCAAAACTCTGGAACAATCTTCCTAACATTGTCCGGGAAGCAGACACACTCTGTCAGTTCAAATCTTCACTAAAAACACATCTCTTTGGCCTAGCATACACATAACACACTATAGACTTTCTTAATTCAAAATTAGGCTGCATAGTTTAGATCAGCTGGAACCGGGAACACGTCCCGTAAATCCTGATGTACTTGGTACATCATAAGAAGGATGGCGTTTACGCTAATATTAGTCTCTCTGTTTATGCCGAGGGACCCTCTATGGTGGACCTGCGCCTGGACCCATCCCAACTCATCCTGAAGTGCCAGCCTCATCAGCCCTGTGAAGGCCTCATCGACACGACAGCCATCGGCACTGATCCTCAACAACTCGTCTCCACACCGGCGTGATTACTTCGACTTCCAACCAGATGGAAATGGATAAATACTCTAAATGTTCCGATCCAATCTGACTTGTAATGCTGCCCGAATCATACACTGTTCCTTCGTTGGCCAGAGGAGAACTGGCCCCCCGACTGAGTCTGGGTTCTCCCAAGGTTTTTGTCTCCATTCTGTCACCTGATGGAGTTTCGGTTCTTTGCCACTGTCACCTTGGCTTTTGGCTTGCTTAGTTGGGGACATTTAATATTCAAGAATATTATTGATCTGCCTTACTTAAGGTGGACGTTGATGCAATTTTCGGTAACACTTTATTTTGATGGTCCCTTTTGAACATTCTGTTGACTATAAGTAACTTTACAACTAGATGTCAACTAACTCTCATTAAAGTATTAGTAGACTGTCTGCTTAACATCTGCTAACTCTTTATTGTGATGATCCTCCAACAGACATTCTACTGACTATATGTAACTTTGCAACTACATGTCAACTTATTCCAACCCTAACCCTACCAGTCTACTAATACTCTACTAACACTCTAATGAGAGTTAGTAGAGATGTAGGTGCAACTGTACTTATAGTCAACAGAATGTGTTAAAGGGACCATCGAAATAAAGTAAAACCCAATTTTCTTCTAGAAACAAACTTTGTTGTATTATTTTCATGTTTTGACTGTAAAGCTGCTTTGATACAATCTGTATTGTAAAAAGCGCTATATAAATAAAGGTGACTTGACTCATAATTTAAAAAATAATTTTAAAAAAAGCAGTTCGATTCCAAAATGAATGTCTCTGAATCGGTTCCTTTAGCGATTAAAAAACAGTTTGCGCAAATCTTTTTTTAGTCACTAATGACTTCAAGTCAGTTTTGAATGAATCAAAAATGCAAATCATGCCAAGTGTGATATAACCCCCCCAATAACTGCATTAAAATTATTTTCCGATTTGTTTTACATGTTCTTCTCACACCTGGAACGACTGAACACTTCACATTAAGATTCTGTGCATGATTTAAATCGACACACAAGTACAATGAACAATACTTTCACAGCATTTACGACTGCTAAATGTAAATTAAAAAATACATTAACATATAAAGTTGTAGAAATTAACATGAATGCATTATGAACGAACATGAATCAATGGTGAACAACAATATACAGGTGAAACTCGAAAAATTATAATATCGTGCAAAAGTTCATTTATTTCAGTAATTCAACTTAAAAGGTGAAACTAATATATTATATAGACTCATTACATGCAAAGTGAGATATTTCAAGCCTTTATTTGTTATAATTGTGATGATTATGGCTCACAGCTTATGAAAACCCCAAATTCAAAATTAGAATATTGTGAAAAGGTTTTCATAAGCTGTAAGCCATAATCATCACAACTATAACAAATAAAGGCTTGAAATATCTCACTTTGCATGTAATGAGTCTATATAATATATTAGTTTCGCCTTTTAAGTTGAATTACTGAAATAAATGAACTTATGCACGATATTATAATTTTTCGAGTAATGTAAAGGTCTTCCGCTTGCTGTACATTTCCTTATTTTAAAGTGTTTTAAAGTGAAAACTGAGTGAGTATCCCTGCCTACAACATCCTGAACGTCCCATAAACACATTCCAGTTTATATTTAGACTGAACTCGATGAATAAACAATGGTGACACTGGATTTCCTTAGCACTTGATTTATTCAAACAATGCCAAAGCCAGTCTCACAGAGACTACTTTGAATTACACACAATGCAATAAATAGACCAAAAACAAGATGTTTACCAACATATTGATACAAAAAACAATACAGTAGTGCAATATAAACACGTTATGAAAGTTGGGATTCTTGCATTGTGGTTGTTGGGCGGTCGTTGAGGGGACTTTGAGGTTGCGACGCCCCGGCGACGAGTTGAAATGCTGTGCAAATCCATTTCCTTTTGTTTACATGGATCAGTTCAACTGGGGAATCTCCATTCGGAGAGTTTATGTTTGAAGGAGCGACATGCATTCACATCACCCACATGTGAAACTCTCGACGAGTTCGTGCGTGTTCGTTCCGAGCGCCTGAAGGATCTCCCACGATGCATTGCGAGTTAGTCCCAGCCCTGAGTGAGAGGTTCTTAGCACCGTCTAATACCCCAGAACGAATATAGAGCGCCCCCTTCAGGATGGGAGAGCGTCTCCACACGATAAAGTGCACTCCAACAGCAATCTCTTGAACATATTGCAACATATTTAGAAGAGAACACACAAAAATCATGCATATTTTGGACCGTTTTCGTCAAGTATCGTGATTTGAGTCCTGAACGGAAATGCTCTTTTTGGGTTTGCGTAAACATGCGAGCACTTGTTTGTTTGTTTTTTAGCCGTAATTTGGATATTTCCGAAGCAATCCGGTTTAGATGCGTCAAACGTCACAATACAATAAAACATTTTTTTTTACCATTTTTTTTATTTTTATCGTTCGGATTACGAAGAGACCTACGTTTCGGAATCACTTCGTCTACGTAAGGTATAAAAAGACGAAACAAACAAAAGAAAAGTGTTAAATACCTGATGTGAGCATTTTTTTTTCTCCTGTGCATAGACTATACATACAGTAATACATAGGGTTCGATTCTCTTCTTTTTTTATCGTTAAACCAAAATTCGGTTTAATATCGCAAACCCTTTGTACGAAGAAAAAAAAGAAAAAGTCGAAAAATGGACGTCTAGAGGAAGAATGAAGCCGGAAAAAGATGAAACCGTCGCAGAACGAGATAAAGGAAGCAAGCGATCAAAAACACAAAGATTTCGGGAGGAAAACGGACGACGTTTTTTTTTATGGTTCGTAAAACAGTTCAAATGAAATGATCACAGATGAAATGCTTTCCCGCAGAAGAACCAGATGTTTGTTTAGTAGTTGTTCTTGACACTCCTTGGAGACAAACCGGTTGTCTTTGGCTGTTTAGGGCGAGTCGCTGATGGAAACTGCTAATGAAAACACGCCAGCGTTTCGTTAAATCCAGCAGCGCCCCGTTTGGCTCTTTACTTGGCAGAGTTTGGTTTTGGGTGCAAATAAAGGTCCTTCCCAGCATTCCCTGCCGGCTTTTTTTTTGGTGTTCGTTCCACAGTTCAGATTGAGATCAGACTCTTTATGTTTCTTTGTACCTGAAAACACAAATAAAACCTGATGATCTGATTCGTCTGGTTTCACACAGTCAGGAACATCCTCAAACGTGTGTGAAAGGAGCATTTACCCGCTTTGCACAGTGAATTCGGGAAGGGCTCCGAGAGACGTCAGCTGCTCCTCTAAGGCCACGATACGCAGGCCGATGTAGCCGGAGGACAGCAGGAGAAGAAACACCCTGAGGGAAAATATAAATATTTTACAAAGTGTTTTTAGGAAATATTTAATAAATATTGTTTTAGGAAATATTTGTATACATATTTTGCAAAGGGTTTTAGGAAATATTTTAATTCGTTTTTTTTTTAGGAAATATTTGTATAAATATTTTACAAATTGTTTTTAGGAAATATTCCATAATTATTGTTTTAGGAAATATTTGTATAAATATTTTACAAATTATTTTTAGAAAATATTTAATAACTATTGTTTTAGGAAATATTTGTATAAATATTCTACAAAGTGTTTTTAGGAAATATTTAATGATTATTATTTTAGGAAATATTTGTATAAATATTTTGCAAAGGGTTTTAGGAAATATTTGTATAAATATTTTACAAAGTGTTTTTTAGGAAATATTTAATAAATATTGTTTAAGGAAATATTTTAATAAATATTTTACAAATTATGTTTAGGAAATATTTAATAACTATTGTTTTAGGAAATATTTGTATAAATATTTTACAAAGGGTTTTAGGAAATATTTAAGAATGATTATTTTAGGAAATATTTGTATAAATATTTTACAAATTGTTTTAAGGAAATATTTTAATTATTATTTTAGGAAATATTTGTATAAATATTTTACAAAGTGTTTTTAGGAAATATTTAAGAATTATTATTTTAGGAAATATTTGTATAAATATTTTACAAATTGTTTTAAGGAAATATTTTAATTATTATTTTAGGAAATATTTGTATAAATATTTTACAAATTGTTTTAAGGAAATATTTTAATTATTATTTTAGGAAATATTTGTATAAATATTTTACAAAGTGTTTTTTAGGAAATATTTAAGAATTATTATTTTAGGAAATATTTGTATAAATATTTTACTTTTTTTTAAGGAAATATTTAAGAATTATTATTTTAGGAAATATATGTATAAATATTTTACAAAGTGTTTTTTAGGAAATATTTAAGAATTATTATTTTAGGAAATATTTGTATAAATATTTTACAAATTGTTTTTAGGAAATATTTAATTATTATTTTAGGAAATATTTGTATAGATATTTAAAAAAGTGTTTTTAGAAAAATATTTGTATAAAATGCCAACAGGAGAAGAAACACGTCACTGTTCACACACACTAAACGAACCTTAACAAACCCTGAGGGCGTCTCCAGCTTAAACCACATTCCTGCGCATCACAAGAGTCGCTCGCCCAGAAACCACTCATATTCATGCTGCTTATGATGATGCGTCACGCTATTATCTCGGGTGATATGATTGAACGCGCCGCGCCGGACGCTACAATATCAGGCATTTCGAACTGGAATGATGCTGTTGACAATTAGACTACTTTATAAATTAGTTTTTTGGAAATACTGTGTACATTTTCTTAATTTAGTAAATATTTGTATAACAATTTGATAATTAATCTTTTATAAATATTGACTTATTATTATTTTACAAATACTTGTATAAATGTTTTCATAAATTATTTTTAGGAAATAGTTATATTCTAAATAGTTATATTTTCCAAGTTATGTTTATTTAATTTTGTATGAAACTATATTCAGTCAATTTCTAAATACTTTATACATAATTGTAAAGAAATATTTGTATAAATAATAATATTTTTTAAATAGATCAAATACTAAATATTTAGTAACTACTTGTATATTAAATATTTTTTTAATGCTTGTATAAATATTTTACAAATATTTCTATAGCTATTTTTTAAATACATTTTCTAAATTTACTAGATATTTGTATAACGATTTGATAAATTATTAAAAATATACTTTATTTTTTTAGAAATACTTCATTTGTAAAATATTTATACATTTTATTTACAATTTTAAATATCTGTATGACTTTTCTAATTTATTTGTTTAAAATATAGTATGAGTGTAAATTCTTGAGTTAATGTGTGTGTAAACGTTGCTCTGGCGTTCGGACTCACAGGATCAGGTAGACGAGGAGGAGTGTGTTGAGGTTGCTGACTTCTCTCTGGATCAGGAGCGATCGAGCTCGGTCCGTCACAGTCCAAACCCACGAACTTCCTGCGGGGACAGGAAGTAGAATCTCTGTCAGCCAATCAAACACAACATGATGAAGTCCTAAACTCACGAGCTCGTCGCGAGGCCGTACCCGTGTTCTCGTCGTCCTGAACCGGTTCTGAGATCCTCACAGTCGGGCTCGGTCCAGCAGCAGGACCTTCTGGAACACACCAGAGAGAGAGATGAGGTAAGGAGAGATAGAGATAGATATTAGATATAGATAGATGGATATTTGCGTGTCTGAACAAACCTCGTGTGAGTCTGGAGACGAGAAGCTCTGGTTGAGGACACACACGTTCTCCGTTCACATCGAAAGAGTCGTCCAGACTCGACTGACTCGAGTTCAGCTGCCGAAACACACACACACACACTGCGTTAACAGAATACTCATGCTGATACACACTGAACAAAGTGTTTTAGGAAATATGTAATTATTATTTTAGGAAATATTTGTATAATTATTTTACAAAGTGTTTTTAGGAAATATGTAATTATTATTTTAGGAAATATTTGTATAATTATTTTACAAAGTGTTTTAGGAAATATGTAATTATTATTTTAGGAAATATTAGTATAAATATTTTACAACGTGTTTTTAGGAAGTAAATTATTATTTTTGGAAATATTTGTATACATATTTTACAAAGCGTTTCAGGAAATATTTTATAAATATTATTTTAGGAAATATTTTATACTTATTTTAGAAAATATTTTGCAAAGGTTTAAGAAATATTTAATTATTATTTTAGGAAATATTTTGTAAAATGTTTTAGGAAATATTTAATTATTATTTTTTTGGGAAATATTAGTATAAATATTTTACAAAGTGTTTTTAGGAAGTAATTAATTCTTATTTTCGGAAATATTAGTATAACTATTTTACAAAGTAAACCATAAATAGGAAATAGTAAATAATTATTATTTTTGGGGGAAATATTAGTATAAATATTTTACAAAGTGTTTTTAGGAAATATTTTAATATTATTTTGGGGGGAAATATTAGTATAAATATTTTACAAAGTGTTTTTAGGAAATATTTTAATATTATTTTGGGGGGAAATATTAGTATAAATATTTTACAAAGTGTTTTTAGGAAATATTTAATTATTATTTTTGGGGGAAATATTAGTATAAATATTTTACAGAGTGTTTTAGGAAATATGTAATAATTATTGTTTTAGGAAATATTAGTATAAACGTGTGGTCTCTCACCACGAGTTTGGGCGTGTGGTCGAAGCTGTTCTCGGCGGAGGAGAAGAGAGGGCTACTGTTGGCACTGCCGTCCTGGAGAACCAGAGATATGAAGAGCAGAGGAAACATGTGACCCGTGATATCATCATCGTCAAACATCAAACATCATCATCATCATCATCATCAAACACTCCTCTTTTCCTTTGATATGTAATCTTTTCTGATTGGTTATGAACCCCGTCTTTGTTTATATAATGTTCTCAATAATAATGATAATAATGATAACCCCTCACCTCCAGCTGAGGACAGACGGAGCGCAGGAGTTTGTAACAGCCTTCTCTGTTCCTCAGAGACACGAACAGATACTGCAACGATCAAGGGTTTCATGCGGATGTTAATCAGGTCACAATGAATGAAGGAATGTCCGCTTCATATCTCACTCCAAAATAATAATTAAAAAGAGAATTCATGTGATGTATCGGGACATTTGATTAGTTTGAGCATTTCCGTGCATGATCCGGTTTAACCCCGTGTGTGTTCGTGCATGATCCGGTTTAACCCCGTGTGTGTTCGTGCATGATCCGGTTTAACCCCGTGTGTGTTCGTGCATGATCCAGTTTAACCCCGCGTGTTCGAGCATGATCCGGTTTAACCCCTCGTGTTCGTGCATGATCCGGTTTAACCCCGCGTGTGTTCGAGCATGATCCGGTTTAACCCCTTGTGTGTTCGAGCATGATCCGGTTTAACCCTGTGTGTTCGAGCATGATCCGGTTTAACCCCTTGTGTGTTCGTGCATGATCCGGTTTAACCCCTTGTGTGTTCGTGCATGATCCGGTTTAACCCCTTGTGTGTTCGTGCATGATCCGGTTTAACCCTGTGTGTGTTCGTGCATGATCCGGTTTAACCCCTTGTGTGTTCGTGCATGATCCGGTTTAACCCCTTGTGTGTTCGTGCATGATCCGGTTTAACCCCTTGTGTGTTCGTGCATGATCCGGTTTAACCCCTTGTGTGTTCGTGCATGATCCGGTTTAACCCCTCGTGTTCGTGCATGATCCGGTTTAACCCTGCGTGTGTTCATGCATGATCCGGTTTAACCCCTTGTGTTCGTGCATGATCCGGTTTAACCCCTTGTGTGTTCGAGCATGATCCGATTTAACCCCTTGTGTGTTCGTGCATGATCCGGTTTAACCCTGCGTGTGTTCGTGCATGATCCGGTTTAACCCTGCGTGTTCGAGCATGATCCGGTTTAACCCCTCGTGTTCGAGTATGATCCGGTTTAACCCCGTGTGTGTTCGTGCATGATCCGGTTTAACCCCGTGTGTGTTCGTGCATGATCCGGTTTAAACCCGTGTGTGTTCGTGCATCATCCGGTTTAACCCCGTGTGTGTTTGAGCATGATCCAGTTTAACCCCGCGTGTTCGTGCATGATCCGGTTTAACCCCTCGTGTTCGTGCATGATCCGGTTTAACCCCGCGTGTTCGTGCATGATCCGGTTTAACCACGCGTGTTCGAGCATGATCCGGTTTAACCCCGCGTGTGTTCGAGCATGATCCGGTTTAACCCCGTGTGTGTTCGAGCATGATCCGGTTTAACCCCGTGTGTGTTCGAGCATGATCCGGTTTAACCCCGTGTGTTCAAGCATGATCCGGTTTAACCCCGTGTGTTCGTGCATGATCCGGTTTAACCCCTCGTGTTCGAGCATGATCCGGTTTAACCCCGTGTGTTCGTGCATGATCCGGTTTAACCCCTCGTGTTCGTGCATGATCCGGTTTAACCCCGCGTGTTCGTGCATGATCCGGTTTAACCACGCGTGTTCGAGCATGATCCGGTTTAACCCCGCGTGTGTTCGAGCATGATCCGGTTTAACCCCGTGTGTGTTCGAGCATGATCCGGTTTAACCCCGTGTGTGTTCGAGCATGATCCGGTTTAACCCCGTGTGTTCAAGCATGATCCGGTTTAACCCCGTGTGTTCGTGCATGATCCGGTTTAACCCCTCGTGTTCGAGCATGATCCGGTTTAACCCCGTGTGTTCGTGCATGATCCGGTTTAACCCCGCGTGTTCGTGCATGATCCGGTTTAACCCCGTGTGTTCAAGCATGATCCGGTTTAACCCCGTGTGTTCGTGCATGATCCGGTTTAACCCCGTGTGTTCAAGCATGATCCGGTTTATCCCCGTGTGTTCGTGCATGATCCGGTTTAACCCCGTGTGTTCGTGCATGATCCGGTTTAACCCCGTGTGTTCGTGCATGATCCGGTTTAACCCCTCGTGTTCGTGCATGATCCGGTTTAACCCCGCGTGTTCGAGCATGATCCGGTTTAACCCCTCGTGTTCGAGCATGATCCGGTTTAACCCCTCGTGTTCGAGCATGATCCGGTTTAACCCCGTGTGTTCGTGCATGATCCGGTTTAACCCCGTGTGTTCGTGCATGATCCGGTTTAACCCCGTGTGTTCGTGCATGATCCGGTTTAACCCCGTGTGTTCGGGACAGAAACTGACCTTCTCTCCATCAGCGGTGCGAACAGAAATGGCGTTGGGAACGAGCAGCGCAGTGTTCTGCTTCTTCAGGACAATCACACTGGAGACCGGGATGACCACCTGACACACACACACACACACACGCGAACGATCGAGCCACTGTTAGACTGAGTTAATCCTTATTTATTATTTGTTGAATCAAACTGAATTAACATGCACCAATACTACATTTTTCTAAATGTCATAATCATTTGTTAACAAGTATTCATTACCTCAATGAGATCATTGTTTCTGCATTGTTTAAATTAATACTTTTTTTTCTAAGTGTGATTTTGTATATGTACATTTCTGAAATGCATAACTTAGACAGTTTCCTCTGATAACAGATCACTGTAAATTGTAATATGGACTCGTGCACTTTCTGTAAAGCTGCTTTGAAACGATGTGCATTGTGAAAAGCACTATACAAATAAATGTGGATTGAATTTCTTTTATTTTCTTATCTGAGGGATTATTACCTTAGTGTCCTTGAGCAGCACAGAGGAGAAGAAGCACATGTTGCTGTCGGTGATGTACAGACGCCCATGATAAGGCACTTCTTTCTGCAGCGCACAGATGTAGGCTAGAGAGACAGAGAGAGAGACTTTTTGACTTTAAGATCACTTTATTTACAAAAACATATACATTTTTAGTAAAATAAATAAATAAAAAGCAGCTAGAAGGAGCACAATGGGTTTAAAAAGTCTCAAGACGTGAAATAGCATCTTAGAAACACAAACACTCGTTTAAAAAAACAAAACAAATAAAAAATATTTTTTCTATCCTTTCCAATCAAGAAACTTCACTCATGCATAAATTGGAAGACAGGGTCAACATCGCAAATGCATTTGTTTATGCCCCATTTACATCTGAAAACATCCAAGTCATTAACCAACTTGTAATAGCTCTACTCTATTTAACTCTATACTGATACGGGATTTTATTAACCCCTTTAATACTGCAAACGCAACAGTTGATCGTGATCGTGATTTTAGCTTGCCCAAATAATTTTGTTTTATAAAACATGAACTTTTTTTTCCCTGCTGTTTTTAGGACCATAAATAAATAAAAACTTGTATGATGTAAAATTGGTTTAATAATGTCTTTAGCCTAAAACAGTTAAAAAACTAATGAAAAGCTGTGTTTAACTGACATCACGACAATCGTTACACGAGCAATGCCTCAAATCTCAATGAAAACATTCCTATTCCTCACCATGGAGCAAGTCCTCGCTTTCTGGGATTTCCGGGAAGAGTTTGTGGAATGTTTTGTTGTGCTTTACGAAACTCTGAGGAAAACGATAGGAAACGGGAGTTTAGAAACAGTTTCATTTACAACACAACAGTGTTGAGAAGAGCGATGAAATGCTGTCTTACACTTCTGGAGTTCAGGCTTTCACTTCTCTCCAACGGCCTGTCCACGTCAAGAATGTGAGACCTGGCAATACACAGCAGCAACAGAACATTATATAGACACATAACAGGAATATAGGCTTATATTTTATATAAACTTATTTTTTTCAAAGAAATTTAAATATTATATACATGTTTAGCAGAAATATAATGCTTATATTTTATATAAACTTATTTTTCTTTAAAGAAATTTAAATATTATATACATATATAAGAGGAATATATGCTTACATTTTATATAAACTTATTTTTTTCAAAGAAATGTTAATATTATATACATATAAAACAGAAATATACACTTATATATTATATAAACTTATTTTTCTTTAAAGAAATTTAAATATTATATACATATAAGAGGAATATATGCTTACATTTTATATAAACTTATTTTTTTCAAAGAAATGTTAATATTATATACATATTAACATTTCTTTGAAACAAATAAGTTTATATAAAATATAAGCATATATTTCTGTTTTATATGTATATAATATTAACATTTCTTTGAAAAAAATAAGTTTATATAAAATATAAGCGTATATTTCTGTTTTATATGTATATAATATTAACATTTCTTTGAAAAAAATAAGTTTATATAAAATGTAAGCATATATTCCTCTTATATGTATATAATATTTAAATTTCTTTAAAGAAAAATAAGTTTATATAAAATATAAGCGTATATTTCTGTTTTATATGTATATAATATTAACATTTCTTTGAAAAAAATAAGTTTATATAAAATATAAGCATATATTTCTGTTTTATATGTATATAATATTAACATTTCTTTGAAAAAAATAAATTTATATAAAATATAAGCATATATTTCTGTTTTATATTACATACATATAAAACAGGAATATATGCTTATATTTTATATAAACTTATTTTTTTCAAAGAAATTTAAATATTATATACATGTATAGCAGGAATATATGCTTATATTTTATATTAACATTATTCATGCTAATATAAATAAAGCATTTTTTGTAAATATTATATACATACATATTTATATATTTTATATATACTTTTAATAACTATTTTTAAAGAAAATTAATCAAATGTGTTCTTTTCTATTTAAAAAATGTAATTATATCGGATACAGCCACATTTTTCTGACATTGAAAAAAAATCCCTTATTTAAAAAAAACATAAAATTTAAAGAAAACAAATTCTCATTGATTTAAAAAAAAAAAAAAGGATTTTAAAGATTTAAAGATTTTTTGATGTGATAGTCACATTTTAGATATGGTAGGTAAAAATTAGTAAGTAATTAAATGCATTTAAATAAATAAATACACATACAATAATATATATATATATATATATATATTATTGTATATGTATGTGTGTGTATCATACACATTTGTAATATAAAATTAATCTCAATATATTAATTCACAATATAAAAATATATATATATATATATATATATATATATATTCTTTTTTTACATTTTTGATTCTTTATCCATTCACATATATCCATCAGTTTGGCAGCGCTCATTACAGTGTTTGCTGGGCTGTTTGAGAGCAGTTAGACACACACTTGTGAGGAGCGGTTAAAGACACATGTGTGGAGCGGTTAAAGACACACACTTGTGAGGAGCGGTGTGTGTTGTACCTGGGCAGGACCGGCCGGCTCAGGCTCTTGGGCGGCTGCTGCTGAATCTCTAGCGGGTTTTCCTCCAAGCTGAACGCTTTCCTGCTTCCCAGTTTAGCTTTCGTCCTCCCCTTCTTCACCTTCCCGGGGATCGTCCCACCGTCCACCGAGTAACTGTGGAAACATCGGAAAACCAGCGTCAGCCTCATTACGACCCATCCGTGTGACGTTCCCTCCGCTCTGCTCAAACCTTACACACCAATCTGCCTTTACGAGAACTTATAAACCACTGAACTCACACACAGATGGCTTCTATTGGCCATCTGTGGTCATTTAATAAGCTCAATACCAGGAACATCACTCACACAGCTCCAGGTTATGAGTTCCTCTCAGTGTAATGGTTAAACAGAGTCAAAGTAAACACACAGTTTGACCTCTATAACAGATCAAACTCCATACCTGTAGAGATGAACTCCATTTCTGCGAGATAATCGCAAACTCAGAGATCTACGCATCCTCCAGAGTGAGAGCCACACAACTGGCCTCAAGCCATAACACTGGAGCAATGAAGCAAACCTAGACGAGAAGCGACTCCGAGCACATCTCCAGCGGAGACGCTTAACCTTCCTGTATGCAAATGAGCGTGGGCGGGGCTTATGACGTCAGATGGTGTGAGCTGATGTAATGGCACACCTGCATGTGAAAACAAGTCTAGAAACACAATTCAGATTGAGAGAAAGCAAACGGGACTGAAAGTCAGAGCTTTATTTTCTTTTAGTGCAAGGAAATATTGGGAAAATCTCAGAGTAAAACTGGGAGTTGTGAAAAATATCATACACAGTGTTTTGCCAGACGAGAAGTTTATTTATGTATCATCATTCTACTCTTTTAATTCCTTTTATAACCGTTTCAATTTTCCTTGCTTTTATTTTGTGATTATTTCAATTCATTTCTGTGTAAAGCACTTTGAATTACCATAGTGTATGAAATGTGCTATATAAATAACCTTGCCTTCTGCAACCTTTTTATCACGATTGCTTTATGGAGATTTGGCTTATAGCACATAAAAATAAATAAAAATAAAAAATGATAGCGTTTATAATAGCTCTTTGTGTTTCATTACTGCAGTTATCAAGCACATCATTGCACTTTATATGATAAAGCCGAGTCGCCATCTCTCTATACTCGAAGAAGTTTAAATTGGAATAGTTTTATTTATAAGTCTATTTGTGGTCTAACTCCACTCATTTCTGTCTCTGCGTTTCTAATACAAACGTTCGCTACAATCTGGGTTCTGATAATGTGTTTATATATCGCACAGTTCCTCGGGAACAGCGCTGGCAAACACAGGATTATGATGAATAGAATAGTACTATGTTATTAGTAATGTTATATGTTATTAGTAATGGCATGTCTATGTTATTTGTTATGTTATATGTTATTAGTTATGTTATATGTTATTAGTAATGGCATGTCTATGTTATTAGTTATGTTATATGTTATTAGTTATGTTATATGTTATGTTATGTTATTAGTTATGTTATGTCTATGTTATTAGTTATGTTATATGTCTATGTTATTAGTTATGTTATATGTCTATGTAATTAGTTATGTTATATGTCTATGTTATTAGTCTATGTTATTAGTTGTTACATGTATATCTATGTTATTAGTAATGTTATATATTTTACTTATGTTATATGTCCATGTTATAAGTAATGTTATTTGTATGCATGTTATTAGTTGTTATATGTCCATGTTATTAGTAATGTATGTTATTAGTAATGTTATATGTCCATGTTATTAGTAATGTTATATGTCCATGTTATTAGTAATGTTATATGTCCATTGTCCATGTTATTAGTAATGTTATATGTCCATGTTATTAGTAATGTTATATGTCCATGTTATTAGTAATGTTATATGTCCATGTTATTAGTTATGTTATTTGTATGCATGTTATTAGTTGTTATATGTCCATGTTATTAGTAATGTATGTTATTAGTAATGTTATATGTCCATGTTATTAGTAATGTTATATGTCCATGTTATTAGTAATGTTATATGTCCATTGTCCATGTTATTAGTAATGTTATATGTCTATGTTATTAGTAATGTTATATGTCCATGTTATTAGTTATGTTATATGTCCATGTTATTAGTAATGTTATTTGTCCATGTTATTAGTAATGTTATATGTCCATGTTATTAGTAATGTTATATGTCCATGTTATTAGTTATGTTATATGTCCATTGTCCATGTTATTAGTTATGTTATATGTCCATGTTATTAGTAATGTTATATGTCCATGTTATTAGTAATGTTACATGTCCATGTTATTAGTAATGTTATATGTCCATGTTATTAGTAATGTTATATGTCCATGTTATTAGTAATGTTATATGTCCATGTTATTAGTTATGTTATATGTCCATTGTCCATGTTATTAGTTATGTTATATGTCCATGTTATTAGTAATGTTATATGTCCATGTTATTAGTTATGTTATATGTCCATGTTATTAGTAATGTTACATGTCCATGTTATTAGTTATGTTATATGTCCATGTTATTAGTAATGTTACATGTCCATGTTATTAGTAATGTTATTTGTCCATGTTATTAGTAATGTTGTATGTCCATGTTATTAGTAATGTTATTTGTCCATGTTATTAGTAATGTTGTATGTCCATGTTATTAGTTATGTTATTTGTGTGTCTATGCATTTTTTATTATTATTTTGTCCCCCGTTTTTTTTTTTCTTCTCTCTCGCTTTTTTATTTATTTGATGTATTTTGTGTAGTTGTGAGTATTAGGATGTGTGTGTTAAGTGTGTTATAAGTGAAGCACCATGACGGTTTCAACTAATTTTGCCCATTAGGATAAATAACAATAAATCATAGCCGCTTTCTTGACCAAGTCACTCTTGTAAAAGAGATTATAATCTCAATGAGTTTTTAACCTGGTTAAACAAATGAATGACATTCTATAAAGCCACAGGAAATAAAACTCAAAAGTAAAACCACAAACATGTGGTGCCTACATGTAAAGCACAGTGCCTGTAAACCACATATTCAAACCAGTCCTCGTCTTTCCAGCATTGAGATTCATGACTCCAGAACAGAGGTGTGACGTGCTGAAATATATAGGCTAAAAGACATCATGTGATGTATAATAACAACACTTCGGCACGCGAGCTATGCATCACACGACAGCTTCTAGATACACTGGGCGTAATGACGACTAATCACTCTCAAAGACAACGGAAACATTCCTGAGGGGGAAAGGTCACGACACACGAGGAAACAAGCGTTTTAAGACTGGCTGGGATTAGCTGGCGCATTGTAGAGAACTTAGCCAACTTTCGTTTGCTTGTATTTGTCTTGAAACCTTTGGATATTAAAGCAAACCCATGCATGTCGTTCACAAATACATTCAAAACAGGATACACACCTAAAAAGTTGACGGTACACAAAGTTCCACGGGTGAAAAATGCTGACTAATGTTAATCGCTAAAGAAATTTCTAAGGTGTATCAACATATGAAGAAACACCAGGAAATAACGCACATGTATCATTGCTTACTGTCTTTTAAATCTAGCAGCAATTATATAATTTCGTTTAATTACGAGATTGAGACTTTAGTTCTGACCTACAGAAGCAATCAAACGGGACAAGAGAACACAATTAGAAAACAACAAACTTTTGTCCAACTAGTTGGGCGAAACTTGAGATTTAAAGGGATACTCCACTTTTTTTGGAAATAGGCTCATTTTACAACTCCCCCAGAGTTAAACTGTTGAGTTTTACCGTTTTTGAATCCATTCAGCCGATCTCCGGTTCTGGCGGTACCACTTTTAGCATAGCTTAGCATACATCATTGGAGTGGACAAGACCATTAGCATTTCTAAAAAAAAAAATGACCAAAGAGTTTCGATATTTTTCCTATTTAAAACTTGACTCTTCTGTAGTTACATCGTACACTAAGACCGACGGAAAATGTAAAGTTGCGATTTTCTAGGCTGATATGGCTAGGGAATATACTCTCATTCCTGCGTAATAATCAAGAAACTTTACTGCCGTACCATGAGTGCAGCAGGCGTAATGATATGACGCAGCGCCTGAAAATAGGCTTCCGTCAACACAACGGAACTATTTTCAGGCACTGCGTCATATCATTACGCCTGCTGCACTCATGGTACGGCAGTAAAGTTTCTTGATTATTACGCAGGAATGAGAGTTCCTAGCCATATCAGCCTAGAAAATCGCAACTTTACATTTTCCGTCGGTCTTAGTGCACGATGTAACTACAGAAGAGTCAAGTTTTAAATAGGAAAAATATCGAAACTCTTTGGTAATTTTTTTTTTAGAAATGCTAATGGTCTTGTCCACTTCAATGATGTATGCTAAGCTATGCTAAAAGTGGTACCGCCAGAACCGGAGATCGGCTGAATGGATTCAAAAACGGTAAAACTCAACAGTTTAACTCTGGGGGAGTTGTAAAATGAGCCTATTTCCCAAAAAAGTGGAGTGTCCCTTTAAAGGTAGGGTATGGGATTTGCAAAACGGCCGGCAGATTTTAAAAATACACAACTCAAAAGGTCCTACCTTCTTTCCTCCAACGCCGGCCCTGACTCCACCCATTCGAAGAACATGGACGCGCGATCATGCATTTACTCTCTCTCTCTGTACCGGGGCGACTTGCACTTACTGTGACTGGGTCACGAGCTTTGAGTATGCGCACGAAGGGGACACGCGCGGGAGGGGGGGATGGTACGACCGTTTGATTGACGCATTTTCTGTCCAATGATTCTAGGTGGTCTTGGAAATGATTGGATCGAGTTTTTCGAGTGTCCTGCCCGTTCCACAGATGATTAAATTGCTTAATTTTCATTTCAGTGCTTGTAACTCAGTGGCTGTAAGTGGGTTAGGAATAGGATTTCAAGTGATTTTGAAAAAATGGTCAAAAAACAAAATCACATACCCCACCTTTAAAAGGATTAAAAACAAAAACAAAAAATTTAAGTTCAAAATGTAATAAAACTTACATTTTCTTAAATTTCACTCTATTGGGGTAAAATGAGCAAGTTTTTGACAGATTGCACGAAATTCGCATCGTGACAAATCCATTTAAGAAATTAAAACAAGTATTGCAAAACTATTTAAAACACCTAG